GCGCCTGGCAGCCTTTAGTGGGCCCGAGCCTGCGGCGCCGCGGCTCAAAGAATGCATCCGACCAGCAAGGCATCCGCAGACTTAAAGCAGGGCGGTGGTTTTAGACATCGTTTTTTGGCCAGTTTGAAGGGACCTTCCTTTTGGTGGGGTGATGTTTAGAAGGGAAGTGGCTAGTAGCCATGGTTGCAACCCACTGAACGGAGACTTATCACCATGGCTTTTGTGGGTTATAAACCCTGGTTACTAGCCACATGCTAAGTACCCTGCTTCTTGGAGCACCTGGGTCCCCCAAATGCACTTTAAGGTGATCATTTATTGATTGCTATTGGGTTGGAGCTTTTGACTTGCACTTTTTGGTGAATTCAAGGAGTTTTCCAATATTCCCACAACAAGTTCAACTGTTTGCAGAGGGATCAACAGCCACCAATATTTTGCGGGCCCACAATGGTTTTCAATGCTTACTTTTGGGGGCGGTGGTTTCCCTTCAACTACAATTTAGGGTTTTCACCGTATCCCTTAAATACTAAAAATGGCTGGCGGACGGCGCTTCTCATGTCTGCCAAAAGGTCCTCTAAGTGTGGGGCAGGTTGCTTCACTTTTGGGCATGGAACGAAAATGAACAGCAATTGTTTGCCATTTTGTAGCAAACCAAGGGGCAAAACATAACTACTAAGTGACTTGAAAGCACCAGCCAGGTGCAGTCCGTGCTTCTTGAAACATAAGCCCAAGGAGTGTACGCAACAGGACCGGTCAAACTTGTTTTCTCAAAACATCATGATTCCCATTACGACTCTTTCGGTGACGATGACGATGTTGGTTGTGGCGAAGTTTGCCACTGGCGTACTTCTCAGTCTCAGATGCTTTTTACTGACTTCGCACACAGTTTGCGTGCCGTGTCTTACAGTGCTGGATTCATTCAACTACTCGTCTGCTTTGTGCAATGTTGGTTGCTGCTACATCATTTTTTGTGTTTCGTTAGTTTTGGTTTTGTTCTCACCACTTTTGTTGTGCAAGTGGAAGGGGGGTCTTCATAAACAGGGGTTTATTAATCTGGGTCAACATTACATGCTGTAGGTCTAGAGCAACTACAGCAAGTGGCAACCTTTCAAGCTGTACAAACCCATTGCTCTCCTGTGTTAAGCCTCTGCTCTCAGGGCCTGAAGGCTGAATGTGCCAGCTTTTGAGCCAGCCGCAGAGTGCTTAACGGCGCCACCTTCCAAGAGCCTCCAGAGTTCATTTTGTCTTTTTGGCCAAGACAAGGTTTGCCAACACGCGCCCTTCCGTATGTTTCATGCAGTCTTAAACCAAATCAATGTTGCGGCCCAGCGTTTTGCACAAAAAACTCTCCACCACCCCCACCAGCCTGGGACTTAGAAAGTCTCTTTTCAGGGGAGTGGTGTCCTCAGGGTTGGGTCAGGGCCTCCTTTCCCAGGCCACGCTGTTGGGCTGCCTCCTGGTGCTGGGCCTTTTGGTCGCCTCCAGCCGCGCCAAGCTCCGTGTGGACGCCGCGGCCGGCGCGGCGGAGGGCCCGGCGCCGCAGCTGGTGCTGGGCTGTGGGCTGCTGGGGCTAGTGCTGGCGGTGCAGGCGGGGACATCCTTCGACCCGATTTGGTCGGGGAGAAGGTTTGGGTAAAGGATTTGCCAGGGTTCTATTTGGGTACCTATTTTTGACTCGCAGCCAGATGGTGCCAACGTTTGGAACCACCTCACTTGAATCGACCTTTCGGGAGGCAAGACGTTTCATTTCACCCGGGCCGCTGACGAGATGTCTCATGTACCGCCGGTATTTTTCTATCAAAAAGTTCCCCAGCCAGGAATCAGGCCAAGAGTGGGATCCCAAGCAAGTGTTTGATTTGTATTCGAGATGGGGTCTCCTCCTGTAGAATTGTCGGCTCTTTATGAACGACCTGATGAGTAGCAATGTGTTAGCGCGTGCAAGATCAACTCCCTCGATACACGAGCAAGCAAAACAATCAAATATCTTAGGCTTCTTTTAGCAGCGGCGACGCGATGATTAGCATCAGATAGCATAGGCTTTGGAGCCTGACAATCATTTAGCTGGCAATGTAAACAACAAGCTGTGATGCATGGCTGATTCTTGGACATATACTTCTTCAGTGGGCATCCCCCACTTCCATTCCCTTGTGAGCTATGGGTCACTGCACTCCAAACGTCAATCTACATCCAAACGCTGAATCGAACTCGGGCTGTGCGACTGTGACGCAACATGATTAATCGCACTGCTTGTTCCTGGTCATGTACATCGTGCTTTGTTCCGCCGCTGGATGCCGGAAGTGCTGAAGGTGGAGGGGAGCATGACACTGGGGCCAATGTGGCGAAACTGCAATGTACCTCAACTTTTGGGCCCAGCCATATTCCAATCCCAACCCCGACCCCTTGACAGCTTGATATTCAACCCAGCCCAAACTAGCCGCAGCCCCACTTGATCCCCATGTCTTGAGCCCCAACCCCACCTCAAACCCCACAGCCTCAATCCCAA